GGAAACAAGAGTCTCATGGAATTATTCGAGTCATCATAATGCAGTTGAATCTCTTCAAGTCAAACTCTGAGTGACCGGCAAAATACTGGCATAGGGAGTTTTCAAGCTAAAGAGAAAGTGCCATTTTTGCAGAAAAAATAAGAATAAAAGGAAGTTGAAATCCTTGATCATCTGAGTCTAAAATTGCTGGGTAAATGAGGTGAGTATTTGCTCCATTGGCAATTCGTTTCGAATTGAAACCCATATAATAACTTGGAATTTTATATATCTTCCTTTCTAAAGGTCCCCATGAAAATAAACTAGAGACTTGAACAATTTCTAAATTATATGTTTGACAGTGAACGCCTTTGGTTTAATTAGGAGGATGAATATTCCACTCTGTTCTTGGAAAAATTCTTGATGGGTACAAGAAAACAATTCAAAATAGATTTTTGATTGAGATGGGCTAAATCTAGCGAGGTTCAACTGAATGTAATGAGTTTGTTAAATCCAGAAAACACATCCTATCTAAAATAGCAGAAGTTTCAAGATTTAGAGAATGATCACCAAGGATAAGAGTTGTGTGATATAGACCAGTATTCCCCAACTCAAGGTCTGCGGACCAGCACCAGTCCACAGAAGTTTTTTGCTGGTCCATGGGAAATTTTCCACAGAAAACTTGCATCAAAAGTAGCAATGGAGTCTATTATCTTTATCAGAAATTTCAGAAATGATGTGGAAGCTGGAATTATTGGTTGAAAAATAAAAGTTTTTGGTGCTTTCCTGTTATCTCAGTACATACTTTCCTGTTATCTCCGTACCTTCCCTTTGACCAATTTAACCTGACCTAACCTAACTTTACCTAACTGCCTCCCAAAATCAGTTTCAGCAGAATGAAGAAAAAAATTCAGTTTCTGGTAGGTTGTTGTGATTATGAACTTGTTCTAAAGATTTGTCTGGATGGTAGTGTGGTCTAGGAATGAGGTACTGAGATAACAGGAAAATACCAAGTTGGCTTACCTTTTAACCATTTACACAAATTTTCACAAGCTGACATGATTCATTTTAATTGTTTCATTCTGAAAAATCTTCATTCAAGCCCACCTTTCTAATTTGTTTAAAAGGACAAATCACTATAGCTGCTTCATTAGTTCTTGATTTTTGAAAAAAGTTGCAACTTTTTAAATACCTGCCATGGACTCTGTCAAGCAAATATTTCTTGAGTTTGCAAAAATTTTATGGAACTTTGTCAGTCCACAAAAAAGGTTTGAGGAATTTGTCAGTCCGCAGGACCAAAAAGGTTGGGAACACTGGGATCAACTCTTTCTACTACAATTTTGTCTAATATGATTTCTCTGCACAAAGAATTTTATGCGTACCATACTGGTTAAATCTACGATCCCCATACCATAGGGGTTCTCTACAAAATAAAAAAATTATCTTCAACAAATTGTTTCTGGCCCCTTTTGAATTTCATTGTAGAGAGAGAGTCCACCTACATTATCCTTGAATTGTTGGCAAGATTTAGAAATTTCACCATTTATTCTGGAAATTCATAATAAAATCAGAATTCTTCATGTATATATGCATGATCAATATTAACCTCAAATGAGAAAATTTAAATCCATTCAGAAAAATAAGGCTTGATCTGTTAATGCTCCTTTTGTAATTGAGCACCATAATATTTTCATTGACTCATTTCTTGCGTTCAACGAAACATTTACTTGCGTTGCGAGCTCATAAAGCAGGATCCCGAATGACCACCAATCAGCGGGAAATGCATGACCGATGTTGTCAATGATTTCCGGTGGCATGTACTCCGCTGTACCGCAAAAAGTCCACGCCCTCTGGTAGCCCTTGAGTAGCCTGGCAAACCCCATGTCTGAGATTCTAATGTACCCAGTTTCGGTCACCATTAGATTCTCGGGCTTCAGGTCCCTGTAAACCACTGACGAACTGTGAAGGTACTCCAGTCCCAACAGTACCTGTTATTTTTGCACAAAGATTTAAAAATACATGTACCAAGATAGCTGAAGGTTAGAGAGGCCAATAGTTTTCAACTGATGATGCCCTACAAGTGTTCCAAAAAAAATAAATTGAAATTCACCCCTGAAAAAACGAAAAAAAATTGCATTCGAAAAAATCTCAAGAACGCAATGGCTGCTATACGGATCAGGAACCTGAAAATTTATCTTGTGTTATAAGTTTTAAAAGGGTTCAAACGAAAATCCTTTGAATGAGAATTGAAAGTGCACAGGATTCAGTTGATTTTTTTGGAAACAGCATTTTGGCACATAAATAACCCAGTCCTGTTTGACATATTTTTGTGGCAAATGATTGCAAAAAGTCAAGCCATAGGTGAACTTTCAGGCCTCTGGAGGTTTTATTTATTTTTGGCTTCTGGAGGTTTTTTTCAGAAGAATAATTTTTTAAAGGCTGAATCCTTTGCAGTTTTAATTTTTATTCCAAGAACTCTTGTTAGACCCCATGTATTTCTTCATACAGTCAAACCTCTCTAAGTTGAAATTCAAGGGACCTGCAAAAAAATTTGTCTTAGGGAGGTTCTGACTTAGGGAGGTCAGGAATTTTAGAGGTTGGAACTGCAATACAAAGCCCTTTTTCTGGAAAACTTGGAAAAATTTTAAATGGAGATGTTCTTAAGCTGAAATTGCTTCTTAAATGAGTTGAAAGGCTGCTGAACTTGGAGGCAGGGGTTTATTTTCCCAATTAAGTCTTTCAATTCCTTTAAAATACACAAGTTTATGTTTTTATTGCTTTTTTTCTTTAATTTTTCAAGAATAAAATGGCCAAGAGGCCAAAGGAAATCCAACTTACAGAGGTTTAAGGGGAAAAGCCTTTGACTTAGGGAGGTTTTTTATGAATTGTTTCTAAGGGGATTCAGAAGGGATATGAAAAAAATTCCACTTAGGGAGGTTTGAGTTATTGAGGTTCACCTGTACCAAGATTCCTTTCAACAATACTGTACTCTATTGTTTGTCATAGCAAGAGTTCCTCAAATAGAAATAAGGTATGATGCAGGTACTTAGTACCCTGCAATTTGAACCCAATTCATTGCTACACTAGGGTCAAAATGCAAGACACTGTGCAAAATTAAGAAAAAGCAGCAAAAAACGCTTGAAAATTGGCTGAAGGAGGTCTAATTGCAAGGCAAAGGTTGAATTGCAAGTCAACCTCAAAGCAAATTTGACCATATCATTGCAAGTTAACCTCCCAGCACATTTAACCACTGAATTGTGGGACAGTTGAATTGCAGGTGCTCAAATTGTGAGGTATTACCTGTACAGGCAAACTCTCTCTACAATATCTTGTCTACAACTATTTTTTCCAAGTAACAAGTTTTGTTCTGGTCCCATAGGGTTCTTTCCTTATGTTATAGAGGCTCTCTACTAGAAAATTCTTTCTACAACGATTTTTTGTGGTCCTGTGAATTTCTTTGTGTAGAGAGAGTACACCTGAAAATGTTTGCTTTACAATAAAATTGAGATTCACTTGAGCAGCGTAGAACTTGACTACGCCTTCATCAAAGCGTCGGTGTCTCCTAAGCAGCAAAAACAGGTCTCCTCCAGGACAAAACCGCATGACCATGTAAAGACAAGCATTGTCTTTAA